CTCGTCCACTTCGGCATAGCACATGTCACAAAGCTAAACTTATTTTGTGGTCAGCCTGCATAGGAGATAGATCATTGCTGGTTTAAGATAAAAGAATGTTTGCTAAGTGACATTTTTGTTGCTTTTCTAGATGATTGCTTGCATAAAAAAATATAAATGGCGAAAAAAAGATTAATGTTATGGCATATATAAAATATTTTAGTAGTATATTTATTTAAATACTTTCAATGGATACTTTTCTAATTTAAATTTGACCATCTCTCCTAGTTTTTTTATTATAATATATATATATTTTCATAAAAATATAATAATAATAAAATTCAATTCAATAAAATTCAAACATAAATAAATACGTAAAAAAATTAATAAAATATTTTTTTTTTTTACATTTTAATATGGGAATAATTCGATCAAATCTTTAGTTCTTTATTTACTCAAGCCTTCAGTTAATTTATTTAACCTAAAATCTAAAGCTTTTCATTTATCTGCTGCGCCTGAAAGTATAACGAAATTATCATCAAAAACATTTATATTTTAACAGAACAGTAAACTGTTAATAAACTCAACAATCTATGCTCTATACAAATCACATTATCAGCAATATTTTGGTTAAATTGTTTACAGTATATCTCTCGAATAAACAGCAGCGAACACGCTGCGTATACACAATAATCCGCTGCTGGCTTAGTCTGAATGGTGTCCATGGCTGTGATATAAACACTGCTGCCAGTTTTAATTATAGTAGTTAAATGACGCACACTAAATATTCTCAATATTTCTGCTGTTTTTGCAATTATTTTGCCATAGATTTCGATAGAGCGGGGGCAGGGTTGACATGGCGGCAAATTAAGCCAGCTGAGCTGATAATTAAAAACGCAAAATGCCAGCAAATTGTGCGTTAAATGAAATTATTAACAATTTAACAGCTGCTGCTTAGCCAGATTTAAAATTATTTATGAATTTTGGGCTTTGTTGCTGGGCCACGCAGCTTCACTTATTTCTCTTGCAGCTCTCACAGAGCTGCACACAAATCGAAAGTGACAAGAAAGAGAAGAGAAGAGAAGGCAAGCAGAAAGGAGAAAATAAAATGCGAAAAGCTCTTCAAGTGACAGCAAGTCAACACGAATCTGCAATTTGGCTTAAGCTGCAGCGCAGACCGCAGCGCAAATTGTTAATTCGCTTCAGACTTCAAGTTGACACAAGAAATTTGTGTGAATGCATTTCTTATGCGCTGCTCTTCAGAAGTAAATAGAGAGAATCTTGAAAGCAAAGAGAGAATAGAAAAAGAGAGAGCGAGAGGTGGAGTGCGAGTGAAAGATGGCACATGCTGCTTTAAAAAAGCGAATGCTCTTTAATAATATCAAACTTTAAAGTTGTTCTCCATTTGCTGAATATAATTATCATATATCTGATACATTATATAATCTCTTCAGAGCATTCATCAATCGCCATAGCTCTGGCTCTTTTTTCCTCGGCTTTGCATAATGAAATCAGTTGTTTATCTTTGACTGACGCTGCGGTTATCAAAATAGACTTAATCGCCTGAGGGGGCCAGCAGATGATAATATTTACACTCGACACCGGGAAACAAGTGTTGCGCTTATTGGCGAATACATGACACACGATGTCTTTATAAATGCAAATGCAATCTGCAATCTGCAATCTGCAATCTGTTTACGATGCAGTTCGAGCAGTTCAACGAACCAAAATTCGTGGAAAACGTGTGTGACAAATCGCCAACTGTTTCTCAAACTCCGGCCATTCATCAATAGGTACAATGCATTTATCCCCACTAAGATGCATAGATCAGCTCCCAAATTTCAAATTTCAAGAGTGTGAACTGCAAATTTGCTGCCTTCCTGCACAGACGACACTGACGACAAAGCGTTTGACATTAGTTGAGATTTTTCATTGGTTTGCCCGACAATGCTGACAACGCGTTCCATGGGGGCTGCAAGGCGGCTGCCTCTGGCGGGGATTGGGTGCATTAGGCAGCCATAGAAGAGCTTGAATGTCCACACCTCGCTGCTATTGGGGTCTGCCGTGCAAGGTGCAAAGTTCGCTTTCGTCGAATGGGCCAGCGAACAGATACAAAAGAATTAATTCCCTCAACCGTGCTAAGTGCCGCTCAAGGTCTGTCCCGATTCTCTGATTTCAGTTCCACCAATGGCTACAAGTGCTGCATTCGTGCATTTTTACAGCTCACTGTTGCCATTTTAATTGCATAATAACAATACGAAATTGCCTTCAACAGCCGATGAACATTTGACTCATCGACCGGAAAGCACCAAAACATATCAATTGCTTACGTGACCTATATCAGCTGTATTTGCTCCCACACCCATTTGCCAATTTCTACTGTAATAACTGCGTTAATTACGGGTGTGTCTAGGCCCAAGGGGCAGAGCAAACACAAAAACAGAAAGCTCTTTAATAAATATAACATGACATTGCTCCACTTTGACATTTGCCATTCGTGAGTCAAGTCTGTCACAATTATGTACCCTATATTTATTATATTATGTGCGTTATATATATGTAGGTATAAATAGATAAGTGCAACCTGAAAATGTCACGAAATTTTAGAGCTATGGAGAGAGAGAGAGAGCTATAGAGATATATTACATATCGAGCTGACTTATTCCATTCAGTCAAGTGCAATCTGTCGAATTCAATAAACCAAAGTTAAATCTGTTTTTCTGTATAGGCAATCTCGCTCAAGTCTTATCACACTATATATATATATATTTATATATTTCAATACCAAGAATTGATAAATTAAAATTACTTGTAATTATATTGACTGACGCCCCTTCGTAATAGAAGTAGCTGCTACTATTATTAATATAGTCATCCGACTTTCATTACAATATATTGATGGCAGAACCGTTACATATTCCGTTACCGTTCGTTAAATCGATATCTATTTATAGTGCATTATACGCAGTGTATTATTAGCAATTTAGTAGCTACGTTTTGAGTTTCTAGCTCTAATATTGTAGAAAATTCAGTTTGTCTCGCTTTACCATGCCCCTACTGGGCGTACACACGTCATTTTTAGTCAGTGCATGGAACAAGCTAACGGCAACCTAACTACCAAATTTGGATGCTTACATTAAAAAAAAGCATTACAGGGTATTTTTCAATGTGCCACGCCCCCAAAAAGGCACAACAAACTGTAGGAGACATAAACACTTTTCACTTTCGTGAATGAATATGAAAAGATTATGCAACCACCAAAAGCAGCAAAAGTTTTTTTTTAATAAAATATAAGCAAAAATTTTTATCGTAAATTGAATTATAATATAATATAATATATATTCCCACAAACAATAAATCCCAGCCCAAGACAATTCGCAGGCAAAACACGTACTCAAACCTATCTCTTCTTAAATGATTCATAATTAATTCAGACTGAATATGAGCTATGAGAACAATAGCCATTTAACTCGCCTTCAATACACTCACTCCACTCCACTTCCACTGTGCTTCAAAGTCCAATAGAATGTAAATGATTTATGCTATCTCCTTCTAACACCTCCCACACTTTACAAAGAGTGCAAATAATGTCTTCTGCCCAATAGAAAACTCATATTTAATCACTATTATTACTCTTCGATAACTATACAATTTTTCTTTTATTATTATTACTTTTTTTTTTTTAATAAAACTCTTTCAAGTTTATTCAATCAGCCTACAATCAACAGGGGCTTGCCCCAGTTTCACTTGCACTCTATTTATTACTGCTGTTATCCATTTGCAGCTCATTTCGCGTCAACGATCATGGTAAGCATCCCAAACATTTAAATTCAATAACAGCATCGTTATTATTCCCCAATGGACAGAGGCAGCAACAGCAACAACAACAACATGGAGAAAACTTTGTCGGCTTCAAAACTCATAAGGATAACTTTGCGCGAGACAAGGCAGAAAACTTATTTAGTTCTAGATTACGTGTCTTCAAAACTTGGCAACGACATTATAAAATTTATATGCACGTTATGCGTGCCATCCAAGATGAAATGTCGCGACTGGAGCAACGGGGGCGAACGGCGTAAAGGCTGGCACGGCACAGCTGATGAGCCCGCCGCTCATCAAGGAGAATGTAATTACATTTTCGCCTGATTCATGACAGTTTTGCATAACGAAAGACCTGCCTCGTGCGCGCAGATATTACGATTATTAATGAGACAGCCACGAACAGCATCATCAGCCACAAAAGGCTAAGGCGGAGGCCAAGACGATGGCTCAGAGCGTGGAAGACAGCCAACAAGGGTCGCGCTTGACATCAGCATTGGGCCATAATCCGTCGTCAGCTAACCACAAAAAAGGTAAATACTGATACAAAATATATGCTAATATATGTAGAATATTTGCATATATTTATGATTATATTCAAACGTTAGCTTTCACAGTAAATGTCTGTACTCAGAAAATAAAAACCTAATTGATTAACAAAAATATATATGTAAGTACATATGTTTTCCATTCGAGCTCTTATAGTTCGCTTCATTTATACATAGAATTTTCACAACCATATCTTTATAACTGGAAGACAGTCAATAAACCAAGAGCTAGCTATCGATTTTGATAGTCTATATCAAAGAAACGGTATTGATAATTGAGTTTAATGGATGCAGTGCTTAATTTTTTACTCTCCCAAAATCATTTTCAGATACACGTTAATATAATCAACTTCCTATAAAAAAAAATCAATTGTGTTATGAAATTATCAATTTGCAAAGCTTTACTATAAAAAAGGTTTCCTTTTATACAGGATATGTAAGCATGAGAACATGCCAGAGTTAATAGCGCTAGATTCCGTGAAATCAAAACAAATCTAAGTAATTCATTCAGTGACGATTTTAACGACCGCTCAGCTGATAAAGAACATTAGTCAGAAAATCAGCAAGCGCTCCAGTTATGGTCTCTAGCCCTTATCAGCGGAAACATAAATAAAACCCAGCCGTAGATGAGGCAAGCCGCTTAGTCTCGTTTAAATATCGGAGTACGGCTGTGACAAGTCTCGAGGCGGTGCAAGTGCAAGTGCAAGTGAAATCCGAGTGCTTCAATTAAAATTGTTATTTTAAGTGCCGCGAAAGAAACACATTTGAGTATTTCAAGCAAAATGGGTTTCGGAGCAGTAAGCTTTATATTTATTTTTATTCATATTTCACAGTTAACTCCTCGTGTCTCGTGTGACCAAGTAAGCATATTAGCTTCTGGAATATGCGAACACAAAATTGCTAAACAATTCATAATATATAAATAACATTGAGATTTATACAAATTAAACAAAAGTTGAGTTGAGCTAATTCGTCATTGAGATCTGATATGCGATTAATTTTTGTGGGCTGAGTAATGTGGATTTTTATATATGAATATATTATGAATGTATTTATTTGCGAGTGAAACAAAGATTGTTTTTGTGCGCTTATATATGTGAATATGAAGTTAAAGTCAATTTTTTAAGAATAAAAATTGACAATGCGTCAGATAAAATTTTACTCAAAGCGGAAAATAAAATTATTGTGGCTTAATTATATATAATTACAGATATAAAAAATATTTAAAGGGCTTACGAAGTCTTCGCTGGCTTCGAATCTCCTTGGTAAAGCAGCAATTGAATATGAATGTTAATATTTGAATCAAATTGTTCTCAAAATATTGTTTCACATATTGTCAATCAATCAAGTTTAATATAAATTTCGTTTACATATATAAATTATGTATTGTTAATTTACTTCGTATTGCATATACTCAAACGACTTTATTCTCACAGTGTGACAAAAAATAAGGTAATCCATTCTTTGCAGTTCGAACTTGAGGTACTTCAGGCCCATAACCAATATAGAGCCAAGCATGGTGCGCCTCCATTGGAGTTGGATAAAAACTTGTGCAGAGTTGCCAGCCAATGGGCGCAGGTAAGATATTCGCAATCACATAAGTATGTATAACTAATCAATTTCCAAAATTTTTACAGCATTTGCTAAACACGAACAGCTTCCAGCATCGCCAGAACAATAAATATGGAGAGAATCTGTATATGGCATCGGGTGCCAATCTGAATGGTGCAGCCGCTGTGAAGTCGTGGTACAATGAAATCAAGGACTACAATTTTAGGTCGCCCTCATTTCAGTCAAGTACTGGCCACTTTACCCAAGTGGTTTGGAAGGGTTCCCGACTTCTGGGCGCCGGAATTGCTCAGAGGTGAGCATTCAATGAACAGTCTATACAATCAGATCATTTGTTTTTACTCTTAACTTTACTTTGCAGAGGAAACACAGTTTACATAGTATGCAACTATGATCCACCTGGCAACTTCATGAACAACTTCAGGGAGAATGTTTCGCCTCCAAACTGATAGCTGACAAGTTTCTCTCTTTTGATAAACATAAACAATATTATATATAAATTATAATACATACATATATACATATATAAATTTGTATTGCATAATCATACATATATTATTATCTGTTATAAAAAACATAAACTATTAAATGACATCAATACATAGCATTTTATTTCATTTCATTTCATTTGTTCGATTATAATTATTTTACAAATTTAATATTCTTGATCATAACAGTTCGTCCCATATAAACTCTTTGTTCATACCCTCTACAAGGTCATCTACTGATAGTCTAATCGATTTCTTCAATACGTTGTTTACTCATTACTTTTATCCCCCATTCCATATAAAATATTTAAAACTGATTTTATTTTATTCTTTATATAATTTATTTGAAGAATCACTGTTCATAATCACATTAAATACAATATTATAATATTATTCTTATTAAGTGCTTCGGGCTCATCTTTGCCCCAAAACTAAATGAACTGAAGTAAACATATAGGTATGCTGAGGTGCACTTAGTATTAATAATGCTCACATTCTCCCAAAAGACTCAGAGAGCAACCGATGAACGCATCGGTTGCTTAACGAGCTCAGAGCGAGAGAGTCATGCGATCAAGCTATGATTAATAATAAACAAAATAGTAGTCATAATAGTAGTAGAAATAAGGTAGAGTTTAAGTAAACATTGAACAAAATTAAATGAAGGTAATAGACATAAGAATACAAAGTTTCTAAGTGCGAGTGTGTAGGAACAAATAACTTTTATGGAAAAATATATTGATATACACGAAAAAAGGTATCGATAGATTGGCGTATTGTATCAATAATTTATATCGTCAATAATTATTGGCTATTCTAATTGCATCTACATCTCATGAAAGTCCTCAAAAGTATTTAAAATTAAAGACTCAAAGCAAATATCAATAAGTAAACATCTGTAATATTTCACCTCCTTAAAGTATAGCTAATTTTACTAAATTAATTAAAGGAATGGTAAGCAAAGTGCAACTTCGATTAGTTCGGATCTGCGGCTACTCTTCAATGGTGCAGAGGGTTTGGCGTGGATGCGAGCGAGCTGGGTACGTATTGCTGCAGATATAGCCATTGGTTTTGGCCTTTGTGTGGGCCACTTTGAGATCCTTGCCAGCAGCGACATCTGATTTGGAGAGCCGTTGCTTGGGCTGATGGCGCTGCACGTGAACGCCCGCTAGGCGGAGTCGGCGATAGAGCGAGATGTATTTGCCAGCCGTTGTCGTTCGGGGCACAATGTACTTCTCACAGAAGCTGGTCTTGGTGCGGGCCGCATCGCTGAGCTGGGCGTAGCTCAGGGCCTGCAGGAAGGCCAGCACAAAGGTGTAGCAATTGTGGCTGCTCTCCTCGTAGCGGGCTATGGACCAGCGCGCTGAATCGCCACAAATCTAACGGGGATGAGGCAGACAGACATCAAGCATCAAGATTTGCATGCAATCCGCATTTGTGCATGCCCATATATGCGTATGTATGTATATGAAGTGGGAACTCACCTGTTCGAGCACCTCGTCCCAGTAGTAATGCCAGGGCTCTGGCACATCCCCCACCAGCAACGATTGGCACCAGTCGCGGGGATTATCTTCGCGCCGATGCCGCCGCAGTCCATCCCTATCGAATTCGACAATGTCGCCGCCGGATGTGGTCACCGCGATATGTAAATCTGTGGCGTTGCTGTAATCGCTACGGAAACACACGGACAACACAAAAACGCATCAGACACATTTTGCATATTACACAACCAAAAAAAATCATATAAAAAATTTCTCAAATTTCTGCACGGCTTATGCAGCAGCTTCCCTGATAACAGCAAATTGCCGAACAAATGTCTGGCTTAACAAGGCTACAACAATGCACATTTCCATCTAGCTGCTACAATTCTATGTAAATCATAATCGTTCCGCTAAAATTAAAGTTCAGTTTTAGTTCAGCTTAACTGCATAGAAAAAGTACTACGACAATTGAAATTTACTTTATATATTTCCTTAGTTGTTTTTTATCAAGCACACAAAATTGGATTAGCTAAAAATAAGAGCAAATGATGCTCATACTAAATTATTTTTACTAAAAAGTATTTATTTGTGTGGAAATTATTACTGTTCTGGATTAAATAAAAATCATAAATTTATGCAGTTATTGGATTATGAAAATTCTGAATAAGAATTGAACTTTAAATTTAAATATTAATTCAAACTGTCTAAAATGCAATATAGTATATAGACTACATTGAGTTGAAATTCAATTTTAATTGTAAATAAATATAAAAATTTGTGTAATTAGCTAGGAGCTAATTTTATATATTTTACTAATTATATAAATATTTTTTGTAATTCATAATTATAATTTATTATTTTTATATACTCGTGTATTATTATATTTTTATTTATTTTATTTATCTAAGACTGGACCTAAACTTTTGTCTATACTACATATTATTAATTTTATTTATTTTTATATTTTATTTTTATTAAATATAAATATTATTAATTATTTAATTATTTTTATTTTAAGCAGACATTTTATATATATATATACTTTTAATATTTTAAAATTTAGTATTTATTATATATTTTTTCAGCAGACTACCAAAAGTATGCTACATATAAAATATTAATCTTTGTCAATCTCTGAATAAATCAGGCATCTCAACGATTATTATAAATGCATCAATCGCAAAATCTCTAAGACGTGAGACTTTAACTTACAGAGTCTATTTACGTGGCTATAATATATGCATATATTAAATTAAGAGTAAATTAATGATTTTGTATCTTGAATCAATTTTCATCTATTTTATTTTACCTTAAACTTTTGCCTGCCATGTATACATGATCGAAAATAATCCAAATTTTTACTATAATAAAACACATTCAACTTGTGCCTCGTTGGCCGACCAATCAATTATTATGCGCTCGTAAAGTAGCGCCATTTACTTACTTGAGAAAGTCGCCGGTGGAGGGACGCAGAACGATTGCACATGGATGCTGTGTGGCCCGGACAAAGGGATACGGCAAGCGAAAGGGCAGTAGTCTTGAAATGGTCATGGAGCCAACACCAGATGCGTTTGCTACAGCATTTGCAGAGCCCTCCTCATTCGCATTCGTATCCGCATCCGCATCCAGTTGCGCATTGCAATGGGGACAGCTGAGGGGCAGAACGAAGCAGAAAACTTTTACGTTGCAGTGATGAAAACACAGAATGCCCGGATCTGAGGTAATTGTGGTTGTAGATTGTCTCCTTGTTGTTGTTGTTGTTGTTGTTGATGCCGTTGTTGCTGCTGCTGTTGATGTTGTTGTCGCCAACATGACTGCCTCTTTGGTCAGCTCGGACTGCTCAGCTTGCACCCGTATTATAATTGATACACTTTGTCTCTATTGTATGTTCTTGTGGCTCTCGTTGCTGTTGTTGTTGTTGTTGCCTCTTTGGTCCTTGTGGTTACGCAGTGCTGCAATAAAACGAACATTTCTTGTAAATAAGCCAAAACCAGCCGAAATGTGACCAAAGCTGTTTGTACGATTTGTCCAAACCTTGGCCGTACCACCAGCAGCTTTTGCGGTCATGTCCACTACAGACAAAGGCAGTCAGACACTGCCACGCCCCCCCAAAACGAACTGTTTGTCATTATTATTGGCAAATCTCTTGAATGTCGAGTTTCATTGTGCCTACATTTTGATTAGCCTGATTTCGACTTGACAAAGAGAGAGAGTGAGAGGAAGAGAGAGAGAGAGAGAGAGAGAGAGAGAGAGAGAGAGAGAGAGTAACGACCAAAACGTGAGTGAGATGGGGAATGTATGTAATCTGTTTTGGACAGCATTTGCTGTGGTTACACACAACTAGCTAAGAAGACTTGATGTACTTGAAAGCATATTAAATAATAAATACCTCAATAGTTTTATTTAACAATTATTTTATAATTTATTATTATTAAATTAAAAGCTGTAAATTATTTTTTTTGTTTTAATTTAATTTTTTTTATTATGTTTTAATTTTTAATTTTTTTTTTTTACATTTTATTTCTTAGCTTGATTACAAAACCATAAACAAAATTATTAAAATTTGGTTTCTTCGATATACTAAAAAAACTTGACTTTACCTAAATATATAAATTGTATTTAAATTATGTTTAGAATCACGCTGCAACCTTCCTATAAATAACTTATGATATTCGCAAAACACACAGAAATCAACAACAATAACAAATCCCCAATAAATTTTCCTTGGAGACTTTCAAACTTTTTAACTCCCTGCCAACCAATCCATTTACATATGCAATATTATTTTTAGACGCTTGAGCACACAAATATTGTCATGTGTTTTGTCACATGCTCGGCGCTAAAAAGCCGGCTGAGGTGAGAATGGGCGAAAACGTAAACAAACCGGCAAAATGAAAACAAATCTCAAAGTGAAATATGAATTGAGTCCAGGCGCAAACTCACCACGACGCAAGCCGTTAGCATGGCTCGCGCGAGAGCGAGCCGGCAATAGCGTGTGAGGGAGAGTGCAAGCGTCTATCTAGAGCCAAGTTGAGAGAGAACAGCCCCAAGTTGCATTTCGCTTGGCTGTGGTGAATATGCTGCAGCTCACATCAAATTTCCCTGACGCTGTCGCTGCGGGTCGAACGTCGACGTGCAACGCGTCAGCCCGAACCTCGAGGCGGGACCAGTTGACGGCGAGCCGTGCGAGCAGTCGGTCGTGTTGTTGTCGCAAAGGGCAGCTAAGAACTGACTAACAGACGCCCAGTGGAATCTGTCTTATGATCAGCATCATTATCACAGTGAATAGCAGCTGCCAAACCTAAGCAGAATTATTAACACAAATTGAAACAGTTTTGACTGGAGTTAAGTGCGCGTCCAAACAAGAGAAAATAAATAATCAAGAAAGGGATTTCATTGTTGTGCTCAACTGGGGTTGACCAGCCTGAAGGATATGCCGCATTATCCTGCCAAAACAAAAATATAAACACTCAAGTCGCAGCACGCCGCCGCCCTAGTCGCCAAAGTTACGTGCATTATTTTATTGTCCCCTTTTGCCCTGTGTGTAACAGTGTGTGTGTGTGCCGTCGCCGTCGTCGTCTGTGTGTCACCACGTTGCGGTCTCCACGTAGCCTAACCACCCGCCGCTCGAACTGTTCCCGCTCCGGTACGCTCTGTTTGTAGTTTATGCGGTTTGCGACCAACTAACGCGCGACCCCCGCTCAAACCCTTTTTGCTTGTGTGTCGGTGTCCGTGCCCGTGCCCGTGTCCGTGTCTGTGTGTGTGCGTGTGTGTGTCGCTGCTACTGGCAAGTGGCCGCCTCTGTTGCATGGCAACACTTGGCTAATCGATGAGGTGCCGAAAAACGCCAGACACACACACTCAAGCGGCCAGCTAAACAAGGATATCACAAGGATAATGACCTAAACCGATACGGTAGGTAAGCCCAGCACAAACATTTCTTCGAAACAAACAAACATTCCAGCGAAACGTCAATTTAAATAGGCCAAGCCAAACAAATTCAAAAGCATTAACTGATTCTCTACCAACTTTTCGTGGCAGATTTGCGGCTGCTGCTGCTGATTGTTGTTATCGTTCTTGTTGTTGTTGTTGTTGCTGCTGCTGTTTTGGTTGTCAACATTGTCAGAAATGTTAAATGTGACATTTTCGCTTTTATCGTCGCTCTCTCTCTCTCTCTCTCTCTCTTAAAGATATCCAAAGTTGGCAGCCAACACAACAACAAAACCGAAAATGTCCAAGAAATTTTCTTAAATTGCTGAAAATGCAAAAAAAAAAGAACATTTGACTCTTGCTTTATCGCTGTGCCAATTAGTGGGCGTGGCACATGCGGGCGTCAAATAAATTGTTTACTTTGGCCAAGTTTGCCGCCACAAAAAGTTGGCCCCTCAAAAGATGACAGCCTCGCAGCAGACACTTTGATATGGGTCCAGTCGTCCAGTCAATAGCGAAGGAAATTCGTTACGTTTGGCAACAGTAAACGCAAATCAAACAGTTAAATGCGGTCTGGGTCTAGCTCTTGATGAATACACATGTATTTCAAATGCAAATGAAAACGATGATGGGCCAGCCACAGCTAAAATCCTAGATGTGGGTTAAGCTAGCCGAAAGGGTTGGCAACGGCTTGAAAACGAAATAGTGGCAATGGTTTATATTTTTGGAGAAGATTTCCATGATATATATCTTCATATTTAATTAAGCTCTTGACAGCTCTCGAAATTTGCAAATTTGAAATAACATCAATTTATGTGGTGTTTTAGCTTTTTCTTATATTTATTTAAATTTCACAGTTATACTCATTAAAGAAAGTGAATTGAGTATATTATTTTCGTGTAATGTTAGTCTGCCATACGACCGTACGTTTAAATGGAAAGCATTTCGCCGCTATTGAAGCTAGAGATTTGGAATTTAGATCTATAAAGAGTCAAGATTACTTCGATCAGAATATGGTAAAATTCAGGATTTTTTATTTATTTAAAATTTTATAAATTTTCAATAATATATCAATTTTTTGTATTTTTGTTACTTTTATTTATTACTATGACCATAAACATTCTTGCCATTTTCTAGATTCTTCTTTTCTTAGTTTAAATCAAATTTTCCGTAAATTAATTTAATGCACTAATTTCTATTCATCTTGAACAATATTTAATTTATTTGTATATTATCTTCACTCGTTGCAAATTTATTGCTTTTCTAGCCACGCCCACAGTGAAAAGGGCACAATGCCAAAGAGGATATCGCTATGATTTGCATTCTTAAAGCCAAATTCAAAGTTGGCCAGCAAACTTGCAAAAACATGCTCTCCAAATGGACCAAATAAAGTATTTTTCCTTGATTAGAAGTAAAAAGTTTTTATGGCTAAAAGCATTCACATTCTATATGGCATTCAAGCTCAACTTTACTTACACTTTAATGTGAGGAATAGAATATTGTAAAATACGAACATTGAAATTTAAATCCCTATTTTCTATCAATAAAAACTTCTGCACAATTATTTCCACAAAACCAATCAAAAACATCATTTTGGGCTCAAGCTCTATTTTAAAAATAATTCTTTAAAAACTCCACTGCAATTGCATTTAGAGCTTGCGAATAAAATGTAGCCACAAAATAAATAAAGTTAGCAAATGGAAATAGCCAAAACAAATAAATTTGAGAGCTCATGAGAGAAATATAAAATATCAAATATAGACATAGAAATTTATTTAGCTACCAATTGAGAGCAAATTAAAAATCATTTAAAATATATATTTATGCAAATTTGTTTTGGGCATATTTTATTTGTTATTTGTTTTGCAAATTTAATTTAATTTTATATTTCAAATTTCGAAGATTTTCAGCAAAAGTAAAAGCTGCAGCAGCTGCTGCACGACAAATTCAAAGTGAAAAGTTCAATTTGTTTTGGGTTTCAAGGCAATTGCCGAATGGCAAACACCAAAGGCAAAAACAACAACAAAATGAAATTGATTTAAGAAATTGTCATTAAGAGATTCAGTTGACTCTTTATAAAAAAAAACAAAAGCACCTAGAGAGCAATGAATATGAAATACCCTAAAAGGGACTTTTAGTATTTAATTGTGGACAGCAGTTTGAATTTCTTGAAATTTCCATTTTCCCATTTTTCTCATTTTGTAAGTCATCAAAGGTATTCCATTTATGCGTCACACATTGCCTGACAAAATTGTTGGACTGTCAGCAAGGGCTGAGATAACGAAAAGGCGACGCAAACAAGCGGCAGAACAAATGCAATAACAGATATGACAAGGACACGCTGCAGCCTTACCTTGCTGCCCTTTATCATCTGTGTTCCTTTATGTTGCTATTGTTGTTGTTGTTGCTGCTGCTGCTGCTGCTGCTGCTAACACGGTAGCAGCAGAAATAACAAACAACAATCTCAAGTGCGAGCTAAGAAATCCAAACAAACTTTATCTTGCGAATCAAACATGCCAACCATACACACACGCACACACACACTTACACACACACACACATGTGAGTTGTAAGAGCAGTTGTCAGAAATGAAATTACAACTTGCATCCTTTGGCCAAGGACTTCTTTCAAAACGAATTGTTTGCACAGTGAAAACATAAAAAGGCCAGCTAGAAGAAGATGTAGAAGCCGAAAAAAATGAAAGCAAAACTCACGAATTTTAGTGAATTTAATGAGATCTTTGCACACACACATACACACACAGACGCGCTCACTGTTAAATGAGAAGTGTGCGCAAAATTCAGTAATCAAATATTTATGCACAATGTCAAGCAAAACGTAAAAAAAAAAAAAAACTGTTAAAACATTCTGCCAAACAGCAGCAGACACATAAAAAATGCAAAGCATATAAAAAGAAATAAAAATGTGAGAAACAGGATCTGCGAATCTGGCTCAAAAATCCTTTGACACTTGCCAAAACCTAAACGCAAACGAAGCAAGACGAATTCTAAATGCTCTTAAAGCAAGAAAATATCATTTATTATCTAAGAAATATTTGATCAATAGTAATTGAAATAATTTGACTTATTTTTTGTATATATATATATATGTATATATGAAAAAAAAAATGAATACAAATATTATTTTAATTTTTTAATATATAAGCAAAATGTAATTTTATTTGTATCTTAATTTTATGGACTTAGTAAATTAAATGTAAGCTATATTTTTTAGTATATATTATTATATAATATAAATTTTTATTATTTTTATTATTATTTTGTTTATTTTATTTTTTTATAATTGTAAAAATACATTCTATCATCTTTATTAAATTATATAGATTTTAGTATATTTATTAAATTTTTGGTTTTGTTTTTACTATTATATTCCTCATTATTTTAATTTTTATTTCTGTTGAGAAGAAAAAATCGACATAAACAATTAAAATCTTAGGAGTAAATTTCATAAACAAATTGACTACAATTTAATTATATCCTAAATGACTATGGCTCCCTCCTCAATTCATGCCACATTTAGCGTTATTCTGGCAAATCTTATAGCCAAGCTCAAATGCCCCGTGTGCTGCAATTAAAGTTGAAATTTCGCAAAGTTGAAGTGCGAACAGCGAAAAAGGCTGCAGACAGGCAGCAAGAGCAATGGCTTTAAATGGACTACACTAACGGCATTGCTAAGCCAACTGCCGACAGGCAGCAGCCAGTTAAAATGACTCAAAAATGTTTATTGTCAGCGAGCTTTTTCTTTGCTTGTATTATTTTATTTTGCTTCTTTTTTTCACATCCTTGAGCTGCCGTACGCTCAACTAAATTGCAACAACAGCAACAATATGACCAAGCTAAATTGAAGTAAGCCAAATTGACAATAAGGGTAGCCGTGGTCCATGCACCACGGAGAAGTTGCTCAAGCGAAGGCTCGAAAGTGAATTAATTCAGAGACACGCACACACTGCGGGACACACACTCAGGTGCGCTCGACACGTATGATACCTGTGCCAGGGCCGGGCGGACCGTGCCCACCGTATCAGCCACGCCCCGGCCATGAGCCTATACGCCGTACCGTTGGGCAGCCGCACAAAGCCCAAGTGTGCGCGCTTTGAAGTTTCCGCTTCCGCACTGAACAACGCATTGTTGTCGTTGTTGTTGTTATTGTTGTTGTTGTTGCTGCTGGTGCTGGTGCTGGTGCTGGTGCTGCTGTTGCTGCTGCTGCTGCTGCGAGACACTCATTTCAAGTTGGTCGCACATTTGCACAACAACAAACAAGCACACACGCGCATGCATCCGTACACACACGCAGAGCCACACACAC